TTCCACCCCGGCCAACACGCACGCCGCCGCGGCTCGCCACTAAACAGGAAGTGGCTCGTAACTAGGCCACACTTGCTCCGATCTGCCCCAAACTCGACATGCCGGATCACAGTCCCGCCGTGCGCGAAGGCCGACAAGCGTAGGGCGAGGACCCGTCCATCGCCGCTTGCGGCTTTAATTATGGGTTTGGAATTTTTGAGCAGAGGCCTGAAAAACAGCGAAGGCTTGAATAAAAGGCTGCTTCCCTTTGAAGCTTTATTGAATAAGCTGAAAGTAATTGAAACAGCAAGAAAAAGAAGGAAACTTTAAGATGTGTTCCCATTGTAGATAAGATGTGCTTGGCGAAGTGAAATCTTGCTATTCCTGATTTGCAACCATTACTTTACACTGAGAAAAAAATATCAGATGTCACTGACCAGTGTGGAAGAAAAAAAAAGAGGTGTATAACCTGTTAACTTTGAAGGCTTTAATTTTTGCTCAACAGAATATATTTATGATGTAAACAAACAGTTTGGCTGTAGTTGCATTGCAGAAGACAGATGAAGATTTTCATACAGAAAAACTGAAATGATTTACTTTCAAAGTGACTTGTATTTTAAAATCACAATGAAACAAGATTTATAAAAAACAGGTGTCAGAAAAACAGAAGTGCAGTAGTAAATAAAAGTTGACAACATACACCAACTTAATTGACCCTCATTACCTTCATCCATTTTATTGACACAGCGGTGTCGATGTAATGAATGTATTTTTTGGATTCAGTGGGTACTGGATCACTGAACTATGTTTTTGCTTTAAATGCTTTGGGTCAAAGTTAATCATTGTTCTGGACGTCTATAGGTCTTAATAATTCACAGTTGTTGAAAATGAAACTCCAATGTTAAACATTTAAATAAAGTTTAAAACCTTCAATAATAATAATAATGACAGCGTTTTATTAGACTTATACATTGTTATTTTCCCTACATGTATTACAAAAGCAACAGCTCACCATTAGGGCTTTGCAATAATGCCATGTTATAGACTTTGAAAGTAATTATTACAATACAAGTATGCTTTTTTTCCACGTTTTATCCAACTGTGGACAAATTATTGCACAGTAATTAGATTATTTTTCATTCATTTTCTAATTTGTGTGATATAAGAGAACATGAAAACACACCTGTTAACTGAGATGAAGTCTGAAGCATTGTACCAAAAATGAAAATTACTTCACATCCCAATCAGAAAACATTCATCTGGATATTTAGATAAATGACCTTCACCGTCTCTTCAACTTAACATAGACAAGTCACGTAATAGATGAAATAAAAGTGTATAAAGATAATCAAAAAATATAAGTTATTTTCATATTGCTTACACTCATCACATCGCTGTGATGCATAAAACTGTGGGACAGCTTCCTGGTTAGGAGAGGAAGGTTCGAACTGTGCCTTTAACCAGGCCTCTGCAGATCGGACACTTTCGCAGTGACGGCGCGCATTCTTTGCACACCACCAGGTGTCCACATGGGATGAAGACGATGTTGACCTCTTTATCCATACACACCTTACAGGTACGTTCCTCCTGTAGTCGCCGCAGCTGCTCCTCCATCGGGAGGTCTGCAACAAAAAGAAAGAGAATTTTTAACTTTAAATTCCTCAAGTTGGTTGGAAGGCCAGCTAAGTTCTCTTGACCATTTAATAGCCAGAATTCCCAGAATTTCCAGATTTCCCAGATTAATACTTTTTAAATAAAAGTTGTTTCACATACAAAACAATCACATATAAAACAATGTGGCAGGATAGTAAACTCTGCTCAGGTGTGTTTTCATACCTGAAAGATCTTGGCTTGGAGATGCAGCTTCATTTGACTGAGCTGAAGGTATGAGAAACAACATGAAGTTAGCTCAGGCTTTGGTTAATGCACAATGGAAACAAGTAGACTCTACATAAAAAACATTCTGACACTTCATAAGAGCTGGTTCTTCATTTCCAATTTATTCTTAGGTGTTAATTCTTCCTCACAAGTGCTTATAGTAAATTAAGTCCTGTAGGTTTTGTCGAAGTTGAATGTTTCTGTCCGAGCCATTAGTGGCCACACTTTGTTAAAAGCACCATACACAAAACGCTTTCTGCAGCAAGTGCAATTAGAAAATCTGTAGTGGTGGGAAACACGAACCCATGAGATCTCTGAGCAGGTGGACGTCATTTTTCTGGATCCAGTTGCGGAAAACCTCGGCTGCAGCGTTTCCCTTGGTCAGGACGAGCTCTATCAACCGGGCGGTTTGCTGCTGGGCTGATGTCTGAGCCTGAAGTCCGCTGTACTCCTCTGCAGCTGCAAGTTAACGGGGAACAGTCACTCACTATCAAAAGGTTTCTGAACTCTACATGCTGCAGCTGCATAAAAGGGCTATAAATAATTGTTTATCAGTCATGATTATCTTGATATGCATTTGCATTATCTCATGATAACCTAAAGGTACATTTGAAACCTTATGAACCAACTTAAATAAAAAGACTTATTGACTCGTTGTAATAATGGCTGCATGGGGAAACAACTACCCACCGTTATGCACTGTGGGAAAAACATCTTGATATTACTATATTTAATCCAACAAAAGCTTGATACAATTATCATATAAGGTTCATTTAGTTCATTCACTGTAGTAACAAATTGCCACATTATTCATATAAAGCGCTTTAGTTTTTGTCTTTTTACTAAAACCTACATAGGACTAGGCAGAAATCACTGTATTCACTTTATTTCTACATATTAACTACTGAATATCTTGCAGCCCAAAGTAACTAAATATTATTTGTACTGGTGGTTTTACAAGACATTTAAAAAATAAAATAAAAACATGAACATACATAACACATTTTGCTCTCTTAAATGCTCCAACACTGGCTCGACACTCTTCAGACGCTGAATCAACGCTGCCTGGTGTCTCTTTACGAAGGTAAAACCATCTGAAACGAGCGGAGACATAGAATGAGCAGGTGAACACACTAACCAATAGATCTGATTATACATGCAGAGAAGTCTAAATTATATTCTTGATGCAAACTTCACCTGATGCCATCGCCTCTGCCAGCATCTCTCGCTCCTCCTCCCTTTTCTGGTCTTCGGCACTCAGCAGGTCTGAGACCAGCTCCTGGACTGTCCTGTAGTTCTCTCCACTGGTCAGGATCTTGCTCTGGACCGTTTGCTTGACTAGACTGCGCTCAAAGCCCATCTCTAAAGCTGACTTTATCACAGGGGTGTTCATCATGACGGCATCCTCGGACCGCTCCTCACCCGGACCGAGATGAACCACTGAGATGAAGAGAGCACAGACACATCAGGCTGAGAGTTATGTGACTTCATAACTTCTACATTTTAAAGATGAATCTTCTTGACAACAACACAACTAACATTTTTATAAAAGAATAAGGTTTTGGCCAACCGAACAAAGATGTTAAACAACACTACAGGATACATTCATATTCAGCATATGGCTATATTCTGCCTGTACTTTTCCTAAATGGTTATTGTTTTGCCATTTTTCACAAGTTTACTCTAAACATGTAGCATACAATCTACAGATCTACTTGCCACCCCAAACAAACTAAAAATATATTTCTATAATTGTTTACAATTTCAAACTCACCAGGTGGATCCACAAACTCTCTGGAGTTGCTGTCTCCATTTGTTAAAAGCTTTTTGGGGGAAAAAAAAAAAAAAAGACAAGCATTTTAAATAACATGTTCAAAGCTGAATGTCTGACGTAAAATCAGATACGCTGCTCTCTTCTAACCTGCTCAAAAAGCCGAGGAAAGCGAGCCTGGATCTGGTGAACAAATTCTTGTCCCTTCTCCTGGAGCAAATATTCACACCTGCAGTTAACCAGAAGTACAAAGATACAAACATTCATAAACCCTCCTCTGCACATGGAAACTATTTGTCTCAGATGTTTTTGATTGCAGTACTCAATACATTTTAACATCAATTTATTTAAACAATCAAGAGCAGCATTTACCGAGGAAACCATTTAGCATGTTCCACCCATGGGTCATCTCCGGACTCCCAGCATCGCAGGCCTCCATCACAGCAGAAACACTTGACATCATCGTTACGACCTTAGAAAGGTGCAAACAAAGACCTTTCAGTATGACACGAGGTTTTGGGAAGTTTCCACAAGAGAGTGACAAAAATGGGAATTCTGATGAGATAGCTTAAACTAATCTCAATACTTTCATTTCCTCTTTTGCTTGAAAATCTTAAGTAGTCATGGTGACATTTGGTTGCTACGTGGGGACTCTGCTGTTCAAGACAAGAAACTAAACAAATACTAATCCTGAAAAATACCTGCCAACTGTGGAAACCCCTAAAAAAAATCAGTGGGGGGAAATTCTTAGTATCTAGTATTCAAATTTTTCACAAAAAGATTTTTGGGGTAAATTTCAGAGCCAACTGAAAGTCAAGATCAGTTTTGCTTTAGAGAAAATAGAAATGGTGACCCCCCACAAGTATTTGGTATATTAAGCAACATTTAATAAAACTTCTGGGCTATGGGTGATGTTTTCATCACATTAAATTAGAGTACATATAATGTTCTTATTCTCCCTAAACCGGCATCCATTGACTTTGCTGGTCACTTGGGGAGAGCACAACAAGCTATAAATATAACACTTAAAAAATAATAAACTATATTTCCATATCACCATATAAAGTTGATTTAAGTTGTTAGCAAACTGTTCTTGGGATAACATTAGCCTTTATATGCTTTTGGTAACCTGATGACTTTAGGTTTAAAGTCAATGCCACTGAACAACTGTGTCTCTTTGATATTTTCCGTACCTACGTAGTAGAAGCCGGCTTTAGCCAGCTGGTCAGGCCGGACGGGGATACGAGACGGCCAGTTGACAAAGGTGAGAAGGCGTTCTTCGCTCTGCTGCATGGCAGGGTTGGAAACGTTACTGAGGGCCGGGGCTCCTGAAGACAGCTGGGAAGTTACCGCTAAAGATGCAGTTGCTGCAGCACCAGCCAGCGACACATTGTCAGCTCTGTCCCCTCGCACAAAACGGCAGTTCGGATAATGCCTCTGGTGTTCGGATACGGCCCTGTCGCCTGGCTCCCAGTTACTCAGCTGCAAATAAAAACGCAAACCTCTGTCATGTGCCGTGTAGAGTTCACTGTCAAAACAATGAAACCTCCTAGAGACAAACTTAAACTGAATTAATGCTTCTTGTGCTTGTGAGGTGGATGCCCTGTAGCCTGCTGCTTACTTTTGTCAGGTAAAGCTGTGTAGTAATCATTAAGTTGTTAGGAAAGAGATCAAGAAGAACCGACAGAAAAAACCAAAACGCACAGACTGAAAATAAGATCATTCATTCCTTTAAACTGACCACAACTCTAAAATGTGTGTTTCTAAATGTTGCTGACATAAGGGCACAACACAGGTCTTTAAAAAATCTCAAGCATCAGACAAGAGCTTACCCAGAGATCTAACTCAGTAATAATGACACTGTATCCTGTGTACTGATACACGGAAACACCCTTCTGGTAAACAAATCAGCTATTTGCTTTGCACATGAGCTGTGCTCGCATCTCTGTAAAGGTACACACCTGTCCACCACAGCTAAAGCAGGCCACTCGGTCGCCCTGCCCCAGGTAGTAGAAGCCTGCCTTGGCGAGTTCTGCAGGGGTGATGATGGAGAGCGTCCAGGAGTGGAAGGAGTCCAGGCGGTCCTGTTCTCTGCGCATGTTGGGGTTGTGGCACGTCGGTCTCTGGTGGGACATGTCCTCTACACCACGAGAAGTCAGGGGGCTGGAGGGCGGCGGAGCAGAGAAGGCCATATTTAAGTAGCCAGCTGGTTCTTCACCTTGGCTTACTGATGGGTTAGGAGCAGCTGGGCCTGGACCAGCAAGCTACAAGAAAAAGAGGTCAAAGATTAGGAATGAACTTTGGTGGATTACTGCAACTAAAGTATTAATTTTCAAATAAAGTAGTAGCATATTTGTTATTTTTTAAATGTCCCCCAAAACAAAATTACTTCATCAACTAATGTAAAATTTTCTAATAACTTTCCAAAACACAGTAGACCCTTTCATCTGAAAAGCATCTTCTCTATTTTGGAAGATCTTACTGGTATGGCTGGGGCAATGCGGAGCGGGGAGAAGGCGGAGTGAGAAGAGGACAGCAGGTTGGCTGTAGACGGGAGGCTTTGGATGAAGGAGCAGGAAGGAGAGAGCTGTCTGTGTTTCTCTGTTGGACAGTCTCCAGCCTGCCATCCCTCTGCCGTCACGTTACACCTGAAACACTGCACACGGTCGCCCACGCCGGTGTAGAACCAACCCGCTCTCGCCAGACTTCGCTCTGTGACAACCGAAGCCGGGAAACGAGCAAAGGTGGAGATGCGGAAGAGCTCTGTAGGATGAAAGAAAAATTAAACTGACCTGTTTATCTGAGCTTGGAAGGCAAAATACAGAAATAAAATAAAATGCAACATATGTCTTATGAAGGTTAAGAATAAAAGATTGGTAACGTACCTGAGGAGTTATCATATTGCAGGTCAGGTGGAGGCCCATTGCGACAGAGCCCCATTAAAAACTGGTTGTTTTTGAGTTGAACAAGCGTTTCCATTTTTTGGATTTAAGTACAGCAGTTTAAGGTAAAAGCAACATCCTTTAAAGGGAGAGGGGTTTGAGAAAACCCAAGGTGTCTCACTCTCTCACACAGACACACACAGTCACACTCAAATGGAAAAAAAGATAAATGAATGAAGGGACAGAAGAAGAGAGAGGTTAGAGTCAGATCAAGACAGTGAAAAAGAAAGCGAGGCTTAGATGAGTGTGAAACTTATAAGTGCTTGTGCAGTAGAAACAAAAGTAACAGCTCAGCAACCACTATTGTCAAACAGCTGTCATCATGTCTTTCCACAAGCATCACATTACCTGACCATAAATCCTACTCCTTGTGCCCATGTCACGTGTACCTTAAAGAGCGAACTAACTCTGAACAAAAACTTGAATATTAGTTGTTGTTTTTTTAGCGACAGGCAAACACATCCTGTGCAGTAAAAAAAAAAAAAGGATGAGCTATTTTAATTAATATGCTTAAAATACATCCTGAACTTAATAATCCTGACATCACCCTTTGGTTGGATCACCCAGGATCCGTATACACGTCATGATCTTGAACATTTAGCAAAGACATGCTAACATCAAGACTTCCTAACACATTATCTAACCATTTAAACTTAAACATACTGCATATGATTATGCGCACAAACATTCTATGTTAAACAAATGCCTCAAGCATGCACACAAACAGACCAAGGAATATGTGTTCTCAAACCCCTCCCCCCATGTCGGACATCACTTTTGTGAGTGTTTAGGCCTCCATAGTTGAACTGCAAAAATCCAATAAAAAAAATGTGTATCCTTTCAGAGATGGTCGGAGACTCTTTGGTTTGAAGTTGGTAGAATCTGTAGAAATTAAGAAAAAACAACAATGTCGTCTATACATAAACAATATATGTACATCCATACAAAGATTGAAGTCAGGTGACATCTTCAAATTGCTACTTTTTCATGACCAACAGACAAAAACAGAAGTCACAAGACACAGACAGAGACAGACGGATGCAATCGACATCAATCATTACACTGCTTTCACGATCTGTGCCTAGTAAATGTCTTTTTTTAAACTATATGATAACAATTGTAATGTAGGTTCTCGGTTACAAAGTTTAGTGTCTGAGCTCGGGCCGAAATTCCCCAACATCATCATCATCATGCTTATCTTCTTAGACTGTAAGCCTTTCCAGAGCAACAAATTACACATTACACAACTACTCATTTATAAAGGCTACGTGGCAGGTAGTCTTCCAGACAGGTAAGCTGGTATTTGGGTAAGTCTGTGTCAAATTCAGACAGAGTTCTGCTCTGTCTGAGGTTTTCAGAATTTAGACACTCTCATAAAAACGTCTTAACTGGAAAGCCATTTTAGGAAGTCACAGTTTCCAGAAATACAGCATTTGCTTGACATCTTTCTAATTTTGGAGGCCTCTACCATCAGCAGAATTTGATGTGTGACAAGTACGGAAGACCAAGGTTCCGGTTTTTTGGTATTTTAACGTGTCAAACTGGTGAGTCATTAGTGTGACCACAAAAACGGATGTGCTGAGGTGTCGCTATATTGTCATATGTGCAAAGCTACACGTTGCTTTGAAAGTACAGGAATTCACAGGTTCGACAACATATAAAAATGAACAAAACGACGCCAAAATATTTCACAGAAATTAGCTTGGGTTCCAAATAACAAGGTAAATGGAACAAAGTCTAAGACGGTGGTGCAACATTTAAAATGACACAGACTGAAACAAGTAAAAACCAGTGGAGTGCCCCTTTAACCTACCAATTGCTTGTTTCCTGTCATTTGACTCATCAGTTATGAAGGTAGAAAAGCTATGACCAAGTCAAAAAGGTTTTTTTATCACCAGGTAAATCAGTACTAGTTGTAATGTAACGCTGCTGGTGTTTATTACTAGCAGGTACTTTCCTGTGACCACACTTCCCCGTTCAGTCGTCTGTTCTGTGACATTTAGGACATTCAGCTTTAAGCTAACGTCTACTAGCGATGTGTCGTTTAATGTTTAGCTTTACTGGGAAACTAGGTTATACTGAAATGTGTTTCTACAGCCGAACATGAACTGAAACATACATATAAAAACCCAGCAGATTATTGTGGCGTTCAACGCCCCGCTTTGATAACATCAGCGGCTAGCTTGCTAATGCTAACAGCTGCTAACGCTGATCAGCGTATAAACTTTATTCTGCTGCTCTTGAATGTGTGCAGCAACACGGAGAAAGGAAATTAAAACTAGACTATGTGAGTACCGCAAAGTACGAGACAACACATCAAATCAGAACGACTCGTAATTTCCAAAGGGCAGACACTCACCCCTTCGCAATTCCGTCGGAAAGTCCCGAAGCTTCTGGCGTCAGGCGCCTCCTCCTTCTGCTTCCGGCTATTGATGAATTGAAAATGGAACAAATAAAATTAAAATAATTAACAATGGACAGAAACCGGTTATAAACTCCCCAGGGAAGTCCCTCAGGTGTTATTAGCTCTGCTGCTGGACTCCCACAGACCCAACAGTCTCCAGGTTTAAATGGACAACAAAACATAACGCAGCATTTAATCAAATGCTCTCATTCTGCAGGTGAATTAATGTACTATCATGTGAACACTAACTCATTAAGCAACGTTTGTTTAATTATTTTAGCAAATATGAACCTGCACTGGCTTCTGTAATCATCAAACCGTTTGATATTATTCTTTTTAAAAAAAAACAACAACAAAAAAACAACTGTTCTATTCTTTTCTCACTTAAGTCTCCATTTGTTGTGTCACATCATATTAAACACCAGCAGCAACCTGCAGAAAGCTGAAAAACTGCAATTGGTGTGTTAAAAACAAAACTTTAGCCTGTAAAAAACACCAACAATAATGTAAATATGTAAACAGACACGTCATTCTTAACATTACAATCCTTTATCACTGCACTTGATATGTGTTAAGACATGAGAAATAGAGAAATAGAAGTCACACTGACACCTGTATACGGAAACTGTAACAACAGCCTGTCAACATTTAAAACCCTGTTACTTTAGGTTTTCTAAGGTCAAAGTAAAAATGTTAATAAAATAAGATACTTACACAGAGGCTTGGTTGAAGTCAAGTTTGATTCTTGGACACGTTGACTCATTTAAAGGAGATTCGTGAATGGGTTAGTGTTTGAATGGTAATTCCCCTACGTCATAGCCACGCCCCCCATTTATTTATTTCTTTACTGGGTCCTTCATACCTACATAGTTTTTGTGTGTGTTTGTTTTGGTACTTTTTTGTTGTTTTTATGTCTGGCAAAAGTCAACATGAACTTTACGTAAAGTACCTGTAATTTCTTCAGAAGTTTTGGACCCGTGTCCCTTCAAGGGCAGAATTTAGATAATTTTCCATCGCTGAGAGTCATTGGTTTCAGTGTGCCAGCGATACCAATGTGCAAATTCCCTTCAGGGAAATTTAGTTACAGCCAGAACAAAAAGTGGTATTGTTCAACATAAAATAGACAGAATAGAAGAATTGTATATAACAATAATTTTTTTTCAAATTATATAAAAAAAAAAGAAATTACTTCTGAAAATGAAAGTAAGGCTACAATGAAAGAATATGTAATTAAATAAACCATCCTTCCATTTGTGAGTGGAAAGCCTGGAACAGTAAAATATAATTAAACCTTCTGTTCCTGTCAAGATCCTGTAGAGCGACGGCTCCGTATTTTAAGTGAGTTGTTTATGTTGTGCTGCTGACAGGTTTTAATTAAATATTTTGGACCCAGTTGGTCAGAATCTGATCAGATATCAATTATCGGATTGGATCATATCTTGAAAATGGATTATTAAAAAAAAGAAAAACAAGGATTCTGGAATCAGATTCAATCATGTAATCCAGTCTTGGTTTTTATATTGAACCTTCAGTATGTGTTATAAAAGTGTGACTAGTTTAGGATACCTGTGATTCAAACATAGAATATACATGTACATTTATAACTGTGAAGTAATAAAATAGATAAAGCAGACATTAGGCTACCTATTAAGCCTTTCAGTATAGTTTAAAAAAAAGAAAAAAGGAATTTCTTGCTGTAAAATTGACAACTGCCAATATCAAACAAAATCATGTTTTTATTTTTAATTCATTTATTACTGCAGTGTGCCTCCTTAAAGCAAACCCTCAAAAAGCTGATCTCTCAAATGAAAAATATTTGAACTGTTTGACATTTTTCCTTTTCATGATTTAAATGAGATGTTGAATGGATCCACAACAAATTTGTGAATACTGTGTTTGAGGGTATTTGCTGCGGCTCAGATGAGCAGTCAGCCTGTTTAAAAGTTTGTTCTGTTTTAGGTCTCTTTCAATAAAAAACACTTCAAGTGCCTCCATGCTGGCTGTTCTACCTGTAGCTTTACATAGATAGTAGCCAGTATTTAATATGTGGCTCACATTTGATAATCTGAAAAAGTTTGTGTCAGGATCAGGGTGATTCAGTCCCATGCTGCTTTGAATAATGAGCACAATAGCAAAAGACATTTTCAAATCTGAATAATTCTGATCTAGATTACAATTTTTTTGAACTGGGCCCCAAAGTTCGCACATTGATGTCCTGAGAGACCTCTGTGCAATATATCTATGGACTGAACCTTAACAACAGGCCTTCAAATGTTTAATGAAGTAAATCTGCCAGCAAGTTTGACTGTGTGATGATTATATTTTTATTATAGGCAACAAATCCTGGATTTGATGGAAAGCAGTATTGACACTGAGTGGACAATCTTGGTTGAAATATTGAATAATTGATTGAAAAGCTTGTTGTGAGCAGTACACAATAAATTAACATTAAACTGTTTCTAATTGTTGTTTTTAAGTTTTGATGCCATGATGTTGGGGATTATGTTTGCATTTTCGTACATTCTCAGTGTAAGAAATTGCCCACTATACACCGAACT